GGGGAAACTCTGTGCAAATTCGCTCAAATTTTCCCGCCAAAAGTCTTAGTATATAGAGGGAGCATTTTTTTCGCAACACCTTTTAATTAAGTTAAATGATTTTAATTAATCAATTATTTTTTGTAAAGATCACAATAAAAATGCAATTCAATAATAACAACAACTTGTGGTTTTCATCGTTAACTTTATTGAGTGTTATTATCAAATACGAAAAGAACTAATAAAGACAAGAAATGAAATCAATCACGCACTTGTTTAAAAGTTTGCTTTATTTGAGTTTGGTAAATTAAGTATTAACTTAATGCACGCATCCAAAAATTTAAAAAAAACGGCGCATGCGTATTTTGGCGCCCGTATTTTTTCTAAGTTTTTTGGCGGGAAAATGAAAAAAATAGAGGTTATCATAAACGTTAGAAAATTTTATTTTTTTTTAAAAAAATCGGCGCATGCGTATTTAAGCGCCTCGTATTTTTTCTAAGTTTTTTGGCGGGAAAATTGGAAATTTTTGAAAAGGGGTTACCATATGAAAAACTCCGAGAAAAAAATTATAGCACTTGTGACTAAACCAGAAAATGAAATTAAACTGTAATTGTTAAACAACTTCTTTATCGACTTCTTTCTTGGCGATTTTCAGATTGCGTCAGTAATAGTTAACAAGCCTGAAAAATCGTGTCGGAAAAAACTTGTTGCCCGATAAATTGTCTCTTGTACCTTACTTTTAAGCTGACGATGTCTGGTTATTGAAGTAAAAGGTCAGTGAATCTTCAAATTGTCCTTTGCTGCGATCTGCTTGCTTTCGTGCTTGTTTGTGTTGACTTGTAACGGCGAATCGCTCTCATAGGACGCCCTGCAAAAAGAAATAGAAAAACATATTAATATTACAGCCAACAATCAAAAAATATCTTAAGGGTTTATTTAAAGTTTCGAAATTTCGTTTAAAAGGAAAGGATGTTGATCACATTCTGGTGTTTAAACAGCCTTAAACTTAGTAATTATATTTTAAACGGCGGTATCTGTAAAATGGCGAAGGCTATTTAATTGCAGATCAACAGCAAGAAATACACGTTGCGCTCCAGAAGCCATCGATGTTTAAACGTTTGTGGCGTTTTGTTTACTCACAGTAAAATTTTGTTTCACGGGATTTGCATGTGGAACCCTCAATACATCTCTTAGGATTTACATCTCGTTGATGTTTGTAACAAAACACAAACGTGAAAAAAAATATTTACTATCTATTTATTTGGCGTTTAGTTTACCCGCTGTAAAATTTTGTTTTACGGGAGTTGCAAGTGAATTCGCTCAATAAATCTCTTAGGATTTAGCTGATGTTTATAACAAAACGAAAACTTGAAAAAATATTTACATATTCAAAGAAAACAACGGTGTGAAGTTGCCTCTGTGGAACCGCTCTCATACAATACTTGTAAACCATGAAGCAGATAATGTGTATTTGAATAAAGTTTTTGTTTGTGTGCAAAAAAATCCAAACCGTTAGATTCCGAAGGAACGATTAATATTCTTGTATGCAACGAAGTTTGTAGTTTTGTGCGATTTTTATCCGTGATTTGTCGCAAAATACCTTGTAAAAAATATCCGCAAGGAATGTTCAAACAAAAATTTCTTCCACTATGCAAATTACTTCGTACAAAAACAAGGAATATAAACACG